AAGCCAATTCTTCCCCGTGTTGTTTCTTCCACAATTTTCTCAAACTGGATTCTTTATGAAAGATATCCGCGAAGTTTCGCCTTTCTCCATACTTGTACTTTGAACAGATTACCATTTCCCTCTAAGTATTAGAATAGCCAAGTCAGCTTGTTGTAAATTGTCTTTGGTGATGTTTCTGTTATCGGTCAATCCAAATAGGATATGACAGGCATTTTGATGAATACGCATACCAGTGTATTTGGCTATCTGGTTTTCTACCTCTTTCCATAAAACAGGCGCGGTTCGTCCATAGAGCACGGTCGTGCAGTGCCGCCCAATTTTTTTTAAATGTTCTATTACGTAAATCACTCACAATATTAAAATAAACGAAGCCAGAATCAAACACTAGCCAAATATCATGTCAAAACAAGGTCCTCACTGGCGCCATAACTGTCATTTCTGTGTCAAAAGCGCCATAAAACACCCACTATGCCATGCCAAAGTCCTCGCACTTTAGCTAAACATAATGATATTCAACAGTGTAACCTGACCTATGAATCGCTCTTGGGGATAACCCAAGCGATGACGACACTCGTAGTGAGTTTGGCGGTACATTAATATAAATAAGACAGCACATCTCAAATGTGCTCATGCCGAATAGTGCCGAAACATAGCCCGCAGTAGGCAGTCTAAAAATAAATGCGATAGACCATGAGCGATTCTTTGTCAATATTATGTAAGCCCCGGAGCAATACAGCGGAGTGCTCAAGTGAATTGTGATTGGTTCATTGTCTGTCTTGCCACTATTTTAAGTGACTCTGTGACCGTGAACCTGAGGGAGGTGAATGTGACCGTCCTGTGAGTTGTGCCTTTGAATAGTTTTGTAGTGGAGTAATGAAAGTTATTACTTGAACTTAAGTGTTCAGTTCCAATACAGGATGAAAGAGGTTGATGTTTAGCTAACAAACAACTTTAGTACTAGAAATCAAAAGCGACAACTAAAAAGACTGAAAATAATAGCACGAAGTCCTCCCTCACCAACCCAAGGAACTTAAAATTATACACTGTCTCATTTACTATGCCCTTGACTATCTTCAGTATGCGATAGCTTTATTGTGCACGTCCACTTTTTAGCCCCACGAGTCACCACTGCCATAAAAGTTTCACTGTTCCACACTCTAACATGAAATGTTCTATATTGTCTTTACTTGAGCATGTTGCACAAGTTTAAGAATCCTTTAACCCTATTCTGTGCAGAAGAATATTTTTGGAGTAGGCCTAAATGTTATGCAAAATGTTCCATTGTAATACTTTTAGCATGATTTCGTGTGTTGTTTCATGACTGATTAGCCCATGTTTTTCTGTAATGTCTACCCCACAATTTCCTCTTCCACATATATTTACATAATATTATACGGTTCCTCACCCCTTTTTATTACTGTAAGAAACTTTTCTTCCCAATCTCCCCAACTCGTTGACCCCCGTCGAAAGACACATATAAGAGGCAGCGTGGTGGAATCAGGCTCTCGTCGATTTTTGGATTTGTAGAGTTATTGGTATCATCTTAAAGCGTGTTCACTTGTCTTTATTTGAAAGAAAAAAATATCCATTTATCTTGAATACAAGTCGAGATATTTGCAAAAGAAGGAAGTGGGGGTCACCTGTTTTCAGAGGTAACATTTGTGAGAAAATAGCCGCCAAAGATAATTATTTCCTTAACATAAGAGTCCGTGGTAACTGAAAATTTACATTTTTGTGCTTTTAATCAACGCTTTTCAGAAAAATCCACGCTGAAATGAGTTCTTTAATGCGCATGAAAGGTGTTGAACCAAAAAACAAAAATTTGATAAAAATTCACAAACCTGCGGGAAAATGCAAGTTTCTTCACTTTGATTATTTTGACGAGAGCCTGGTTTCACCACGCTGCCTCACATATGTCTTCTATGCATTTCCCACCTCTAATTTAAGTGCAAAGGGGTTATGGTGTGAGTCAGAACATCATAGGGTCTACATCATGCGTTTGGAAGAGTTACTTAAATTTCTGAAGACTCTTGAAATTACATCAACCTGTTTCCCAAAGCCTTATTTTGTCACCAATCAGACATGTTTTAAGTCACCACCTTATCTTCATTTTTATTATAGTTCCTTTTTTTTTTTGTTTTTTTTTTTTGCTTAGCTCCGTTTTCTCAAAACGAGTTTTTTCGGTAGGCCTATTAATATCTTTTTATCATTTTTAACTTCACACATTTTAAGAGCGTGTAGCTCAAAAACTACACATACAATTTCTTTGAAGTTTTTACACTTGTCACGTAAGCTCATTGTCGTTCGCAAACTGTACTCACTAGGGTGCACTGGTCTATCGTTTTGTCTGGCAATGTCATTCACATAGTTTTGATATTTTGTCAAACTGTGAAAATGTGTAGGTAACTCTGAATGCAAAGCTGGACTCCTGACAAATTTTTCGCCACATAAAAAAACGGCTTCTCTTTATCGATTCACCTTGCTTCGACTAAAGTATGAATCAGAAAGATATTACCTCATTGAAATGCTTCAAGTTCAAGGGAGCACTCCGCTCTCGTAAGTTCCGAGAAAGTTCAACGTGAACAGACACACAGGATCATATGGCAACAATAGGCTCTCAAAAGGACAGACCCAAGCAAGAAAGACAAAACCGAGGGTGGGCGCATTCAGTCATCCTAACGCAATCTTTGTCATGGCTATTCTTCTTCGTTTAACTAATAGGAACCTTCTTGCAAGCGGCCTAGTTTGTCGGGTAAAACTGCAGCTCCTTCACATCCAGCACAGTCTTCACTGGGCACAGCGTCGGGTGTGATGGCCAAGGCTAAATCAACCAAATTCTCGAGCCCAATGAAGGCCTACTTTTCTTTCAAAATCAAGCACAAGGACAAGTATTCATGCATGATAATGCACCTGCTCATACGGCTGCTGTGACAAATCAGTTTCTCAAAACCAACAACATTCCTTTTCTGCACCCATGGCCAGCGCATTCACCAAATTGAGCACTTGCGGGACAATAAATTAAATCGTGCCATTCGAGCCAGACCACCTCAGTTAGAACAAGCCCTTGAATTAATTAGTGGAATATCATCCCTCAATAAAGCAATACCTCGATTCATCCCGTCCATGCATCGACGATGTGAAGATTGACAACGCCAGATATGTCATTACACATTACTGAAAGCTGTCACTTTTCATTTAGACCGCTGACAACAATAAGTATAAGCTCAAAATTGAAGATTATAAAGGTTCTCAACTTTGCATTCCCCGTGTTTAACTTGTAAAACGAATGCTCTGTCTTATCTGAAATTTTCAGACAGATTCGATAAGTATTAATCAAGATATTGCCTTTTATATAGGTGTGAAGTAAAAAATTTTGAAGAGTATACTTTAAAAAAATAAACTCAATTTTTCATCCAATTTTTTAAAAATTTTTGCAGAACGAAGAAAAGATGTAGCACTATAAAATTTAAATTATGTTGCATTGGTGCATGATGTCTGGAGTGTGGACTTTCACTGATATTTTGCAGACTCGAATATTAGGCCTACCTCTGTATACCTACAAAAAACCAAAAAAAAACAACAAACAAATTCAAACATTCCTAATTCATTTAGGAAAAATTCGACTGACCATTTTGTAGAACTCAGTGTTTACTAAGGCAGGTGCATGCACAATAACAACTACAACGCATTTCAATTGAAAATTAATCATAATAATAATAATAATAATAATAATAATAATAATAATAATAATAATAATAATAATAATATAATAACATTTATATAGCGCATTTCCAAAAAAGTAGCTCAATATGCGCTTTACATTGGAATACCCATTTTTCAAAAAACCTTTCTTACTACTTCCTCTCTTCTCAAACAATATACATTAATGCACACACACACACACACGCGCGCGCACACACACACACACACACACACACACACACACACACACACACACACACACAGACTATTTTCATCCAGACATAGGAACAGAACAAATATAATGAAAGATAACGTTAAAAGCTTATGAAGGAACAGAAAATGTTTAAGATGTCTTTTGAAGCTATCAAGTGTTATTTGTCTTAGTTTCATGGGTAATCTGTTCCACATAAATGGACCAAGATATGAGAAAGATCTCTCTCCATATGATTTGTATGATTTTACAGGTGTCACAAGTAGGGTGTTATCGTTTGATGATCTTAGGTTTCTCCCTGGTTTATATATACTGATAAGTTCTTGTAGATAAAAAGGAGCAGTTTTATTTACACATTTGAAACACATGACGCATATTTTAAATATTATTCGTTCTTTTACAGGGAGCCAATGCAGTTCTTTTAATAATGGAGTGATATGGTCTCGTTTTTTTAGATCTTGTTATCAGTCTAGCGGCATTGTTTTGAATTACTTGTAAACGATTCAAATATTTGTTGTTCAGACCTGCTAGGAGTGAGTTACAATAGTCTAATCTAGATAGGATAAGAGATGTTACCAGTGTTTTTGTGGTCTCTTCGTTTAAGTACTTTAATCGTGGATTATTTTTTTATAAGAATGATGTCTGTCAATTAGTGAGGTATAGCTGTATAAACAAAATCCAATATGGCCACACACACTCACACACACACACACACACACACACACACACACACACACACACACACACACACACACACACACACACACACACACACCGAAAATAAAAAACCTTTTGCACAGACACAATGTATTAAATTTTACAAATTGCAACATGTTATAGGCCTATCATCCTTTTTCTCTTATCACAACGCCGACTGACAACTTTCAGTTTTTGCCCTGGACGTATAATACACCCTTATTAGAGATACCCTTTCAAAGGATAACACAATTCATGCATTCACATACAACACTACGTTGTGTGTGAACCAAATATTATAATAAATTAGAAAGTTAAGATCTTGAAACTTTTTAATAACGACAATACCACAATTGAAAAGTTCTCAACTGGGCAGACTATCATAAGTTTGATGATATAATTAATTATTAATTAATTAAACATTGGTTTGGATTGGAACAGCAGATGCCTGACGGAGCAACATTTTGGGCCACATTGACATTGATGATTGACATATGTTATAGATCTAGATCTAGATCAAGATCTACATCTAAACTCGTGCAGTCTGCAAGCCGTTTAGAACTTCTGCTTTTACAAATCTTCGGAACCGACAGTTTTGATAAGGATAAAGACAATAATAGAAGTAGAAGGCCTCTATTCTTAGTATTCTAGGCTCCTGCCCCTGCAGTCAGTCCATTTAACTTCAGACTATTCAGAGGCTAAAAAAATTCCTGTCGTCCTGTCCTTTGACTGAATTTGAGTCATACATTTACACGGTACAAGGCATCCATCTGCACTATCGGAGTGAGGAGGTAAAGTACTGTTTATTAACCTTGCAAAAATATTCCTCCTAGTCTGTAGATCTGGTGATCTTATACACTTACTTAAGATTAATAAGAATGTTAAATTCTTCAATTGAGGACTTCCGAAACGAACGACCACTTACAGATCTGGATCAAAATTCTAGAATCTATGTCATCCAGATTATACTCAATGGCTTCCAAAATCATGATGGAAGACTGAAAACCACTGTAGTTATACGATCTGTTCTTGTCATGACAAAATTACGGTAGTTTGCACATTTTTAGGCCCAGTTCAAAGTTTTGAAGGTCTGAGTCAGGGATTAGTAGACTTTGGCTTGGGAATTTAACGTGCTAAAGTATAAGATCACCCTAGATCTGGATTTTCTAGGTTTAATGGGACAGAACTTGAGACATGCGACTAAACATAGAACGACGCTTTATTTTTAAGTAAGGCGGCCACTTTTTGTGACATTAGACCGGGAGACCATTCTGATTACATAACTAGATCTATATCTAGATCTAAATATATAGCCTACCGCATGGCACCAAAGATCGTGTGTATAAAGAATCTTTGATCGCACAAACGCTTTGGTGCGATGTTTTTCCAGGAATAGCGAACCGGTAATGTGATATGCATGCTCCGATGATGCTGCTGAACTTTATCTCTTCTGGGCATTGGATCACGCCAGGAGGGGAGGGGCAGGCGTCTACGGCAATTTTCGCACGCTTTATAATAAATTGTCTAAAGTTGCGTTTACCGTGTTTCCATTTCAAGCAGCGTTCTTACTGTTCTGAGCATCAACAATCTAAGTGATCTTCCATCTTATCCAAATTTCGAAATTTTAAATTAACATATGTATTCGGAAACCTTGTAATCAATCAGAGCATTGCTGACGGGCTGCAGTTAGCCACAAGTGTGAAATTTTACTGTTCAAAACACATCGATACTGATTTATACACATCAAGCCACTGACCCAACATGTCGTTCCACCAAAGATTTTATACTCCTGGACTTTGGTTCCACGCGATGTCTCCATGGCCTTCTAAAAATAGTCTCTAGGTATCCCAGGATGTGATGACATCTTATAAAAATTTACTAAAATTAGCAGCCAATCAGGCTGGTGCGTCGGTCTACATGATAAAGTTTAACCGCAAGGGAACTTGAGCCATTCTCATTCACATAAAAATGGTTAACTTTATATATAATTTAATATCTTTGGTAATTATTTACTTTCTCATGTTTTTAAACGGGGGGAAGGACTTCCGTAATGAGCGACCACTCAGAACTCTATGAATATTATACTCAATGGCCTTCAAAATCTGTACGGAAGGCCTAAAGCCAATGTTACTACCTCTACAAATGATGAAATTGCGGAGGTTTACATAATCTTAACTCCATAATCTTAACTCCAGCGCAACGTTTGAATATCCTGTTGGGGATGAGTAGATTTTCGTCTAGATCTGGCACGGCCGGAATTAAACGCGAGAAAGTAAAAGAATCTTTTTGGCACCCTCCAACCACCTGCCCGAGGAGAAGGGAATCCGTACGTCATGTTTTATTATCGTATCCATGGATACGACGTGGGGAACTCTGTCACCTGTGCCACCACTTTCCAAAGAGGTGTACACTCATTAATTAATCTGATCCGTACGCTTTTCATAGCAGTCTATCAAAATGATTCTTTGAAAAATACTGAAAGTTTCAAAGAGATCTTCGCACTAGAAGTATTTTAAAATTTGAAGAATACAACCCTGGGGGGCTACAAAATGACCCCCTGGGCGTACAGATAGGGTTAATGGGGACTTCTGTAACGAGCGACAACCCCAACAAACACAATAAAGAAGAGACTTTTATCTCTAACCACAACCCTAACCCTATCCCAAACCCCCTACCCCAATCCTAATCCTAAACCTAAACCCTACCCCTACCCCTACTCCAAACCCTACCCCATTGTTCTACTCTGTCCCATAGTGGCCGCTCGTCACGCAAATTCTCCCCATTATAATATTATTTAATATATATCAAACTTTATTTTTCAAAGGCTTGTGTTTTTTTCAACTAAATGATCTAATTCTAACTAATCCGTTTCTGCAACCCATACACGCCAATCATTCTCATTTATCATGGCATGACATAGACTAGGTACCAGAAACTAAATTTTCAAAGTAACTGTATGCCAAATTTATCTAAATATATGAAAGGCCTTGTTATTTATTATATCTCTTGAGAATTTCTGTTCAATTCTTTAACCTCTCTGTCAATTTTTAAGAAAATGGTAGCTGTTAAAAATTTGATCAAATTGGTTAAAGTCGCTCACTGGCTGCAACCCCATGTTTGACAGATAATAAAAGATTACCAAGTGCACTAAAGATCTTCACTTTAATAGAGTACAATCACTATAACATATGGAGCCCATTTTTTTTCAAAAATTACAAATCAGTATTTTATCGCCTCAAAACACGATGATCTGTCGTTACTTCGACACAAACACAGAGCGTTGACCCGGCCGGTCTGGCAGTCTAGCCGTACTTTAAATTCTAAATATGATGACTAGACTGACCATTTAAAGAAAGTAGGTCTACTGAATTGTAAATATAAATTTAAGTATTTGTATTTGAGACAAAACCAGGTGCCTAAATGACAGTGCATGTATTTTAAACCTCCTGTTTTCTAATGTTAATAGGGCCTTTAAGATAAGTACGGCTAGACTGGCAGTCAAGCCGTACTTAAGTACGGGTAGACAGCCAGGCTAGCCGTACTTAAGGATGGCTAGACTGTCAGGCTAGCCATACTTAATATTGATGGCTGAATTGTAAATGAAATTTTTAGTTTGCAATGCCTAAAGTATTTGTATTTCAGACAAAACCAAAAGGTGCCTTACTGACTTGCATGTATTTGAACCTGAATGATTACTAGATCTAGATCTAATGAGACCTGTGTACTGTACAGGCTTGAGTCGACAGGGCCAAACCTATATCTAAGTACGTCTAGACTGGCAGGCTAGCCACTTCGTAATTCCATAATATGTCCAAATATTGAGGAGTGCTCATTCCACAGTGCCACGACACATTTTTTGATCTCGTTATTTTTCCTTTATATAGTACTTGTAGCACAAGAATTTATCCAACATTGTTTTGTGAGAACGTGACCTGGGTTGACCTTAACCTTCACTGCTGGTGTACCTCTTCATTGACATATATATTTATAATATAAAATATATAAAGCCATTACAGTACTTTCTTTGTAGTTTACACAACCCTACAAATTATGGGATCCAGTATCCTGTACTTTAACCTTCTTTTTTTAAAATCTCTCCCTTGATGTGATGTAGAGGAAGGGGGGAGAGCTAACAGTATTTTGGAATTAAATTTGTTTATATATCCAAAATTAAAGTGGAAGATATATATATGTGATAAGGATTGGTTACAGTTTTTTTGTTCTGTTTTATAATATCTAGTGAATGTGTTATTAGTTCATGGTAGCAGAAAAGTATTCTTTTGTGTTCTACTATAAATTAAATTTGTAAATCCAGCCCAAAGTTTCCCAATTTTTCCACACTGCAGCAACTATTCCAGGACTACATCATGCACAATCAGTTCTGTGACCTATTTATTGTTCTGGTGCTGAACAGGCCTATAACTGTCGCGCATGTTGAATGATACTAACTGGTGCATCACACATGTAGTATATGATTCGGTTTTGATTTTTGACTCCAAGTATCTTTGATCTCTGGAAAAGTAGGCTTCTCAGTTACATTTTTATATTCCAAATAATCAATTGCATAATGCACACTTTTTAAATACTGAAAATGTGTATTGTTTTTACACCCAACTTTGGGTGGAATTTTAGCTTTGCTGTTATAAGTACAGCTGAAATCATGCAAGAAAGCCACACTCATTGTAAAGTCTTGCACGCGGTCATTATTGTGACAATGTACGAAAAATAGGACAAAAAGTATTGGGGTGTGTGTGTGGGTGGGGATAATGGAAACTGGTAATTTGTAGGCTGTACAGATGATAGTCTTGGATAGATGGAAGTTAGAGCAGGTTTATTTGTATTTAAAATGGATCAATGCTTTTCTGCCCTATATTCTTTCTTCTCTAGATTTGTTCCTCTTATGGATTGTTTTATCTCTCTTTTTGTTTTCAGGGTTTTTTTCCTGAGAACAACATCATCAACTACAGAGTAAAGAAATGGCGCAGAAGCAAAAGGTCGTTGTGTTGGATGGAGGTACGGGCATGACACTGCAGGAAATGGGCCATGTTTTTCCTCAAGTACGTGCTTATTGTGTAATGACTAAAAATATTCATGAAGCTTTTGTGTCAGAACACAGTGGAATCAGGCACTTTTGTCAATTTTTGATCGAGTTATTGATATCATCTTAAAGGCTGTTTATTTGTCTTGCTTTTGGTGAGGAAAAAAATGCCTTCTATCTTGAAAGGAATTTTATTTAAAAAATTCAGTTGAAGGTAGGGGTGACCTGGGGTCACTCAGGTGTAAAATCAGTGCGTGAATGGTCTCCAAAGTTTGATGACTACCAAAGCCTGAGTGTCATTTTTTTTGCCTTTGATCAGCATTTTTCAGTGAAATCCACATGGAATTGTGGTTTTAGATGGCATAGATACGTGTTGAGCCAAAAAATGAAAATTGATCCTACAAATTGTCCAACAGGTTGGTTTCTTAGCTTAACTTGTTGTGACAAGTGCCTGTTTTCATCACGATACCACACATTCATGAGGCATGCTGACAAAATGAGTTACTGCTCAGATTTTCGCCCAATAGAAATAGATAATATTAGTATGAGGTGATAAAAGACACATTAATTTCGAAGAAACTGGCGAAAATTGAAAATCCACAAATTGGACCCCTGTGTTGATTTTGTGGCTGCTGTCTCTGTTCGTGGAATACAGGAAGTAACTCATTTTGTCGGCTCTTTTCACATTATGTTATGCCTTTGTAAACCAAATTGCCCTGCAGAGATCAATTTTTTGGTGGTTGGCGGGTGCTCTGGTGTGGTTTGCTCCTTCTTTCAGGGGATTCCTATCAAATATCTATCATCCTTATCCCCGCTCTTTCTTTTTTGCATATATTACACTCTTGTAGCACCTATAATCTTCTACCTTATTGTGTTGCAACACTTACCAAATCAAAAAAGAGAGATCAATTTTCAAAAGTGGAATATTCACATTTTCTCCTCTCCATAGGGCGATCTGCTCTGGTCCGCTCGTATTGTCAAGTCGCACCCAGGAGATCTCATTAAGCTTCACAAACAGTAAGATTTTTAACTTTTGCAAACTGTGTGTGGATGGTTGGCGGATGCTCTGGGACAGTTTGCTCCCTCTTTCCTGTCAAATGTTTATTTTAATCCTTATCTTTCCTTCTTGTCTTTGTGTGCTACTCTCAAGTAACACCCTTAATTTTTTTAAACTTCAATGACAATGACGTATTTGTATTTTGTCAGTGCAGTAAAACTTTTATTTAAACAAAAAATTCTCTTGTAACGCCTGTAGTCTCTGGTACTTATATGATGTATTAGTGCTCCAAGTGCAGTAAAACTTACTAAAACTATAAGTTTTAAAATCTCAGTAGGCTTTAAGTCTAAGAGTATATTATAGAGTCAAGCCTGCCTTAACAGAAACCTGTGTAAAACGGAAACCTGTCTTATCGTAATATCCCCGCTCCCCCCTTGATATACTTCTCTTTCAAATTACCTGTATAAAACAGGAACCTGTCCTACATGTAAACAGAAAGAAAAAGTCGCTCCCCTCTGAGGGTTTTACTGTAGTCTCCGCCTAAACGCACGGTGCTCGGGAGGGCTCCTTAGCGTGTGTTTATACGGAGTGTGCGTTTACATGAACGTTAGCAAATGGACGAAGTCATCTCTACGCCTTGATATCCTAGTGACCTCCTTTGGGGTGGGGGTCGCTCTAGGCCAATAATGTGACGACATGTGACTGTTTTGTGAAGGATTCCCCGACTACGGTTAAGAATACAAAGGTGTCGAATGGGGTGGGGGGGGGGGGGGCACAAAGACAGACTCGGTGTGATGTTGCACCATAAAATGTCAGGAACAGATAGCCAATGAGGTAATTGTTGGGGATAGTCATAGAGACGACGGCGCAGCCTCATGGCTTTCCCAGCGACTACCCCCGACTGTAAATTCTTGGATGACGTGAGAGTCATAGATCTAGATTTCTAAAATCAGAGAAACATTAGTTTTTCTTTTGTGATTCATTGAACAAGTACATTATATGTTCTTCAAGCAAAGCTGATTAGGCTTACTTCACTAATCTTTAATCCTATAGAGGCCTATCTAGTCTTTTCAGCATTTACGCGTGTTGCGCATTCACTAATAGGCCTAGGTCTAACTACACATTACATGCAGTTACCCAAACTCCGGTCAGAAACCTTCTCTCAAAGATGCATTTCTAGTGACCAATCAAAAAACACTTCAGTCCCCCAACCCCCCAATATTTCACCGACCAGTCCTAGACCTATGTGTCTGTGGAAATCTGTGTGTGAAAACGCTGTCCATCACTCTTTGTTCAGCGTAAGGGATAGTTTCACCAAATATCCGGTTTTCTAGGCTTGTCTTAATGCAGGCTGTGCAGATTGTAGCGAAAATTTCCCTTTGTCAAGATTTTGACCCTATCTGTCGGTGTGTTTCGCAGATCGGAGGGGTTTAGAGGGAGTGACCGTGCATTTGTATGTCTAAATTACAATTATAGTAAAAACCCATCAGGTGACGAAAGCGTGCGTTTGAGCAGAGCGTGCCTTTGTATGGCTTGTGTTTAGGCAGAGACTACTGTACCTGTCTAAGACGGCAAATGTGTTGCCTGCTCAGCCCTGATTTGAAACGAAACTCGCAAATTTGGGTTCCACTGACTCTAAACTAAACGCCATGTGGCGGGGCGAGGAAAGGGAGTAGGGGTGCAATTCGGGGGTAGATATTTCCCCATCTTTGTGAGCCCTGAACGATGCAGATGGTCAGGGTGGTGTGGGTATGAAATCTAATGAGTGCCAGTGAAAGTGCTCGAGTAGCAATCCACCATGGAAACTTTCCTTGGTAACCAGAAGCCAGAGGTGTGAAATTAGTTTAACCAATGCCTACCACCCTGATCCTACAACCAACTGAGAAAAGAGTTCCTGGAACCGTTGCTACATGACAGTGAAAGGCAGCATTGATTGACTGTGCTTGTTACACCGATGGGTTGGGGTTAAGGGTGGAAGCGAAGAGATGTTCAAACGTTTCTGTTTTTAACAGGTCAAACAGTGGTCCTATGAAATGCAAGCACTGGTTGTAATTGGATAAATAAGACTGACGCATGTCATTATCAGAGAGGATAGCAGTTAAGAGGTGTGAAGTTTTGAACATTGCTTGCTGACCGGACAAATGACTCTTGATCCCACCGGCTGGGCCTTTGAAACCCCCTCTATCTCCCCCCTAAATTCCCCGGTCTAAGACGGAAAATGTCTATGACGGAATTTTTTTCTGGCTCCCTTGCGATTCCTTCTTACACAGGTTCAACTGTATAAGTCTGTTATGAGCTATTTTATCCAAAAGGCCAAACAACAATCAAAAACATGTTGTGTTTCGATTTACTTACTTGGTTACCTGGTTGGAGAATTGGTATCCTCGCAGGCAGTACAATGCCATAGCTGCTCCTCTCTTCTCTCCAAGATCCATGAAAGGGTTGGCTTGCTTATTGTGCAAGTCATCTGCTGCTTGGATATTCTTCTGACTTTTCTACGCAGGTCGCTGTCCCTCCCCAACCTTCTTGAGATACCAGTTTCACTCAGTCTTTCTATTGCGTGTGATGTGGTGCCTTCATCTTCTCAGTGGTCGTTAAACCATCCTGTTAATACTGCCTTGACTGTTGGTGGATCTTATTGCCTAGTACCACTAATCTCAGCCTGACTGGCTAGCTTATAAATCAGCTGTGTTTTGGTTTCAGATTTTACTCGTCGGGCGCTGACATTGTTGTGACTGCCACATATCAGGCTTCACTCGATGGCTACAGGAAGGTGTTCAATCTTGACGAGGAGGCTGCTCGTGACTGTCTCAAGCTGGGAGTAACACTTGCTCAGACGGCACGAGACGAAATCGAGAAAGATACGGGTGGGACAAATTCACCGCACTTGCTAAATGGCATAACTCAGGGTTGTGCCAAAATGCAACTAGCTTTTTTTTGTTTTGTTTGATGGTACTATTATATCTATCTTTTGGTTAAATCAAAACAAAAATGCACTGACAGTGACAATATAGTAATATACAATATATAAAATATATAATACATTAATATAAATATATACAAAATAAATAACATATGTACCTTTTAACGCTTTACCCCCATGGAATGCTGATCGGTGACTGTGTGATACAGCAACAAAAAAGTAGCATTCACCTTTTTGACATGCACACTTATTAAAGTTATAATTTCCTTTCTGAATTGTGAGGCATTATGGTGAAATCAGGCGCTCGTCAAAATAATGAAATCGAAGAAACAAGCTTTTTTCCTCCAGTTTGGCAATTTTTGTCGAATTTTTGTTCCATGTGAAATTTACTGAAAAACATTGTTTAATGGAACAAAATATGTAAATTTTCAGTTTTCAAGTACACTCAAGCTATAGAAGTTACCAAACTCTGGTGGCTATTTTCTCGCAAATTTTACCTCAGAAAACAGGCTACCACCACCTCCTTCAATCGCAAATATCTCGACTTCTGTTCATGATAGATGGGCATTTTTTTCACCCAAAGAAAGACAAATAAACAAGTTATGAGGTTTTACCAATAACTCCATATGCCCAAAAATTGACGAGTGCCTGATTCCACTGCATTGTTACACAATTGGTTATGTGACCTTTAAGGTCGGAAATCAGTTTATTTACAACAATTGGGAGTTAATTTTTTAAAGAAATATCAAGCAGACCTAGTATGAGTTCTGTTTTACACTTATACCTTGATGAGAATTTGGATAATGTTTTCAGTTCTGATTTTAATTACTTTTTTGCTTAAAATTTCCTGATGTTTGGGATATTTTTGCCGACATTCAGATATAGTAGGCCTACTGATGTACCACGTCTGCATGACCTTATGCAGTTGCGAACGCTGTAAAACCCTATACTATACCGTACCATCCTGGTACATGGGGATAAAGATGTTCTCTGCCCTCTCCATGAGTGTTTAATATTATTTAAAAGAACTATGAAAGAATAAAAAATAATATGTGTCACGATGCAATGGAATCAGGTGTTCATCAATTTTTGGGCACGTGGAATTACTGGTATCGTCTTAACCCATTTCCCCCTGAGTTGCCTCCCTGAGCAGACATGCCCTCCTGGGCTGCCTCCAGCCACACCTACAAATCTAGGTACCCTTACTATAATTGCTATAACTTTCCCTCCAACAGCTACAAAATTAGCAGACAATACGCGTACAGAAATGCAAGAACGATACTCTACAGCAATTTTTTAAAAACTTGGAAATAATCGACTGGCGAAAGTTGTATAGAGACAAAGAGAGATTAGGACTGGTTCGTAGTCTGGTGGCTACCTGGATACGAGTATTCTCGTAGGGCATCAGCTAGAAGTTAAAACGTGTTCGTTTTTCTTGCTTTCGATAAAAAAAATAACCTATCTATCTTGAATGAAAGTCGAGATATTTGTAATCCAACGGGGGGGGGGGGGGGGGGGTGGTGTTGCCTTGTATGGTATCAGAGGTAAAATTAGCAAGAAAATGGTCCCCACAGTTTGGTGATTTCTAAAGCTTGAGTGTCTTTGGTAACTGCAAATTTATCCTATTCTTGCCTTTGAACAACGCTTTTCAGTAAAAATCTACACAGAAATTTCATTATTTTGACGAGTGCATGATTTCGCATCTATGCCACTCATATATCATTTGAAAGGATTGTTGTACATTGAATGGGCCAGTACTCATGCAACTGAAACATATCATTGTGTTCGTTTTAGAATTTTTCTTGTTTTATATCTTTTATTTTAAAACTTAAACTATGTTTTATTGTGAAGCGTCGAGAGCTACGGGTGCTATAGAAGGGATCTCTACTATTATGATTATTTATATTAAGTTATTTATTATTTTTTATTATATTATTATCATTAATTTGTCAGGGATGCCCTCGATTTTCCACAATATAACATTTCATTGTGTTTTGTACTTTCTTACCTATTTTCATCAATTTATTGCGGGTACTGAATCCGACCGCAGAAAGTTCAGGGTTTTTTTTCTTGGCCATGGGGCATCCCTGATTTATTATTGTTATAATAACTATTATTATTAGGCATATTATTATGATTATTATTAATGAACATTTCTAATAAAAATGTCCATTTATACTCTGGTTTTTGTTTCTTTCTCTGTCTGGACCCACACCTACTTTTGGAGGCAGGCCGACGTCTCTATGTGGCAGCGTCCATCGGAGCTTATGGGGCGGTCCAGACAGACTGGTCCGAGTACAACGGACGATATGTAGACACTATGTCGAAACAGGTAAAAGTTATGTATAATGTAAATACGTCACAACACAGTGGATTCAGACGCTCGTCAGTTTTGGGGCATTTGTAGTTACTGGTATCATCTTAAAGCTTGTTTATTTATGTATCTTTTTAAAAAATGTAAAAATACCCGTCTATGTTGAATAGAAGTCCATATATTTCCAATTGAAGGAGGTGGGGGTCTCCTCCTGGTGTCAGAAATAAAATTAGTGAGAAAATGGCCGCCAACTTCTGATAACTTCCAAAGCTCGAGAGTCCTTGGAAACTGAAAATTTACTTTTTTTAAAATCCCTTTTGATCAATATTTTTCAGTAAATTCCACGCTGAAATGTGTTTCTTAGTCGATACAAAAATAAAAGGTGTTGAGCCAAAAAACAAAAATTCAATGAAAATTACCAAACCGATGGGAAAATGCTGGTACCTTCGATTTAATTACAGTCCATGCCGGCTTTAAGCACGCCGGCCTTAAGCACGTTTTGGACTCAAGCACGCTAAACAGCTCTTGCCGAATTTTTGCTATATAAATTACACGCCTTTAAGCATGGTAACTTCGGCTTCAAGCACGCTTCATTTACAAGACGGTCAATATTTTCATGATGACCCATCGAAGTTCGAACACAGTTTACACCGCAGCAGTGGAGTGTGTCAAGAGAAACACAAAGAACGCAAGTGATGGACACACACACTCACAAGGGCGGAGAGGAAGGCAGAGAGATGCACACAACCGTGCACGTGGACATAGGATCTAGCCTAGGCCTAGGGCAAAGCTACACACGACCGAAAAAAAGATACAAAGAGAGTCGGGGAGACGAGAAAGGGAGGCTGGCTGCGATTTCACCTTTGACCTTCGCTATTCATTAATCCTGATTGTGTTTCACATGCGAGGTGGGATGAAGGCGGTGATATGAGTACTATGAGTGGCACAGCGGGCAGTGGTACGCACAGGCAGTGTGTTACAGTAGGCCTAGTGTGCTGTATCGAGACTGGCCGTCTAAATTAAGTTTTCATTTCCCTTTCGACCACAAAACAAAACAAACAAGCGAACAAAAACTACCATGGCGGGTGTTTAAATAACAGTGCACACTTTTGTGGGTCCGCTATAGGCCTGCTAACAAACAAAGGGAAATAGCACGGGGAATTTTTTACCTGAAAATCTCTGGATTATGTCTACTTCGCACTTAAGCACGCTTCGGCTTTAAGCACGCTTAAGCTTTCTCCCGATGACCGTGCTTAAAGCCGGCATGGACTGTATTTTAACGAGCACCTGATTTGACCACGATGTTTTACAAATAGAAAAAATAAAAGTGCAAGGAGTGTGTGGCTGTTTGTGCTCGCTGGTGATTGTCTTGTACATGTGACTGACGGAGCAGGTTCGACTGTACCTGACTTTTACGTTTGATCCCACAGGAACTGAGTGACTGGCATCTGCCCCGTATGAAAGCCATCCTGGAAACGAACCCTGACCTTCTGGCTTTTGAGACCATCCCGGCCGTGAAGGAGGCAGAAGCTGTCCTGGACAACCTGCAACATTTCCCTGATGTCAAAGCTTGGCTCACCTTCCAGTGCAAGGTCAGTGATGTGTGCCTCAGCAAAAATGTTTTATCCCAAGGGAGACTGTAGGAGCATCAAGATCTTTTATCTGTTCTACCACGCCCCACCCCCCACCCCTTTCCCCTTCCACTGATGTTGTGGAATCAGACGCTCATCAATTTTTGGGTATGTGGAGTTGTTGGTATTGTCTTAACCCAAGAAGCACGCTGTGTTTCACCAGAAGTAACCTGCCCAAATTGTCCGCCGCCACAGCTGATTGGTTGTAGACATGGGGGTTTGGTGGGGGGATATCAGCTGAGATACCAGAGATGTATACCTGCTACTGAAAAATGACCATTTGCGGATCAACCGATGATAAAAGGCATATAAAACCACATCTTTTCTCATAGCTGATAGAATGAGACTTTAAAAAATGATAGGCGATCAGACAAATAAAAGCAAAGCACAAAATAGGATGAAGTCAACAATTAATACATGTGCATAGTGGGACAAGTGATAACACATTGCGTGTAGTCGCTCAGCTGGACCACATCGCTTTATCAATCTATATTTGGGCCACGGGATGCACTAGGAGGTCAAAACAACTTGCAAACTCATTGGTCACTATTTATAAGTTTGATATGCTATTTACTACATCATTTACTATATTAAAGACATCGTGGTGAAATTAGGCGCTCTTCAAAATATTGAAATCAAAGAAACCGTAATTTTTTGGCTGATGTGCAATTTTTTTCTAATTTTCTGTTTTTAGTTCAACCCCTTTTATGTCCTTTTAAAACCCCTTTTTTGTGAGAGTGGCGGCCATTTTCTCGCTAATTTTATATCTGAAACCAGACGACCTGACCTCCTTCAGTCGAAAATATTTAGACTTCTTTTCAGCATAGATGGATATTTTTTCACCAAAAGGGAGACCATTAAACAGGGAGACAGGGTCTTTTTCGGGTCTACGTACCCTGAAGACTGGCGTTTTTGGGGGTATTTCAATATTTCATACAACACCCTTCCCAAAGACATACAACCCCTATTTTTACACACACAACAGATCTAAACATGCCCAATATGACACAAAAAACAGAAAGTAGGTACCGCAAACTGGCCGTACGCCCCCGTGGCGCACTGTCATGGAGACCAAAACCCACATTTTTACCCTCCTTAAACTCCGTGTGATCATGCATACACACAGACAATTGAATATCAGAAGAAAGAGGAG